GGTTGTCCTCAGGCAGACTGGGGACACTGTGAGGTTTGCTGACCTAGAGAAGGGAGGGCTGGGCCAGCGGGGTGGGAGCTGGGGCCCTGGGGTCGAGAGCAGGTCAAGGGATACCCTTCACCTCACAGGCACGTGCCTTGGGCCCTGGGCGGAGGCCACTGTGTTTCACATCCTGGGTTCAGGAATGTGGGGGTGTGTGGGGATGGGGGGCTCATCAAGGCACACGTCCCTGGGTGGGGCCAGGTGGGCCCACTAATTGCTGTGCTGGGTGCCAAGGTAACCATGGGTGCGCCTGTGTCAAAATTACCCACCTAACCTGGCCTGGGATCTGGTCCAGGCTGGTGGCTCCTGGGACAGAGGCAGGAGGTGACCAGAGAAGCAGAACAGCCCCCCAGAGGGACCTTTGCAGCCCCTCCTTGTTATGCACTGTGTTTCCTGGGAGTGGGCAATGATCCTACAGGCCCCAAGAATGCATGTTTGAGCCCCTAAGCGGGAGGACACTTGGGGTGTGAGGACAGTCCAGACCTGGGTTCAGATCTCTGCCCAGCCACTGAAGGCCCTGGTCCTGGGCGCATGGCTGCACTTTGCGCCTCCCTCCCCCTGCAGGGGCCTGGGTGCTGTGGGAGCCAGGAGAATGGCCCATACCCCGCCCCTCATTGACCGCATCGCTGGGGTGATGGTGAAGGTGATGGGGCCTTAGCCAGGGGCAGCGTGGCTGGTGGCTGGGTGAGGACCGGCAGTTGGAAAATGCGGAGTGTCCAGAGAAAACAGAATGGCCTTCACTCCCCACCCAGAAGGCTCCTGCCATTTGGGATTCTAGAAAACAACATGCAGATTTGCCTATTGATGTCCACTGCCACCCGAGGTGGCCCTTCTCCCAAAGCCATGCTTGGGGAGCCAGGGGCCGGGCTGGGTGCTGTGGTCTCCTGGCAGGAGACTCCAGCTGCCGATCGCGGCAGCGCCTTGAGTACAGGCCTGGGTCCCGCCCCCGGTGACCCTGCCCTCTGCTTTCTTCCTTTCTTCCTGGCACCTTCTCTTGGGTCTCATTGCCCTTTTGTGGTCTCTGCTTTGGGTCATCAGCAGAGGCCACACCGTCTTATTCGCTTGTCCCCTGGGTCCCACCTGCTCCGGTGGCCACCTGACTGTCGTCTCCCTCCCTGCAGTGTGTGCCACGCCGCTGGGCATGGAGACCGGCGCCATCGCCGACTGGCAGATCTCCGCCTCGTCGGTGCACTTGGGCTTCATGGCTTTGCAGCGCTGGGCCCCGGAGCTGGCCCGCCTGCACCAGTCGGGCATCGTCAATGCCTGGACAGCCAGCAACTACGATAAGAAGCCCTGGATCCAGGTGCGGAAGGGGGCAGCCCCGGGGCGGGTGGCCAGATGGGGGGGAGAAAGTGAGACGAGTGTGTCAGCATTTGGGGGTCACCATGGGAGCGTGCATAATGGGGGTCCAGGTAGCAAGGTAGCAGCTTCCCTTGGATGAAGTGTCTGTAATTGAGGGCAGCCTTGGGGGGCCTGGAGTGGGTGGGTGGGATGAGGG